AGTGAATAAGTGTGACACATTTAGTATAGTGTCACATAGTGAATAAGTGTGACACATTTAGTATAGTGTCACATAGTGAATAAGTGACACACATTTAGTATAGTGTCACATAGTGAATAAGTGACACACATTTAGTATAGTGTCACATAGTGAATAAGTGACACACATTTAGTATAGTGTCACATAGTGAATAAGTGACACACATTTGAACAAAATGTGTGACCGCTTTCACCCTCAGCTGTTAACGATATGATCAATAACATTCATAGACCTCAGTTGGTGCTTCTAAATTTGGCCTATAAATTTGGCAAGTGCTAATCCACTAATAAATTTTTTGAATTAGCAAAAGCCCTAAAGCACTAATCAGGAAATTAGCTCCCCTATTAGTGGTTTAGTGTTTTAGGGGAACTGTACCCACCACTGAAAAACAAACAAACATGCACAATAAGTAAAAATTACACACCATAAAGTGCTTGCTATTTGTCTTGTTAAAAAAGGCTAAATGTGACAACAAAAATATTTACATTKTAAAAACGATGTCAACAGCTTTCACAATGTGACGAAAATACAAAAAAATATATATTCGGCGCTTGCTCCACCACATTTAGAAACTTCCTGTTACCTGTGGTCGTATTGTGTAAACAAACTTAAACTGCTCTTCTTTAAAACTGAAGTTGTTGTTACTTCCTTTGTCGTTACTTTCTGGAAGCTGTGCTGTGTTCCAGCACAGCTTCCAGAACGTAACCAGCTGTACTTTTTTTAGGCTAAAAGTGAGCATCGCGAGCCTAATTAACCACAATTAAAGTGCTCAGTGGAAGTTAAATTAAAGTAAACACGAGTAAATTAAAAGTTGTAGGAGTTTACTAACTTGCTCCGTGACGTTCGTGTCCGCTTCTTATTAAGTTCACAGTTTCCAGGTGGTGTCGCAGGTTTGAGCGCAGGAATGTGTCACACARCTCTAGAAGTGACGGAGGGCAAATTCGGTGGGCGGAGCTTCAGAGGACATCGGCGGTGTCCATAGCAACACGGACACGGAAGTCYATACAACTGCACGCGCTGCTCAGGAAAACAAGCAAGATTTTTATCTTTGCTTGTAGAATGAGGAAATAACCTGAAAAATAATTTCGACACATTTTAAAAGTAGAGATGCTTGATAAAATCTGGTTTWACGGGTGAAGCGGTGTGATAAAACTAAACTTGAGCATTTCCAAACATCTGCAGAAAACTAACATAAACAAAAATAAATATTAATCACACGTTCCTAGCACGGCTCACATATGTCTGCAGGAAATTTCACAAGCAACCTGTAATGATGCAACAGTTT